CGCCATGTGGTCACCTCCGGGGCAGGCGGGAATTGAACTCATGGGGAAGTGGCTTTAGCTTCTTAGTGCTGTGCTTTAACCCGCTGCTCCACCAGGGAGGGCCACCCCTGAAGTTTTTAACCAGACTTTCAAAGGAAGAAGGGTTTTCCTTCCGCCTCCAAAGAATTGGCCCTTTGGTGGTCTCAAGATTTGGCAATTCACAATTTAGAAAAGACAACACAAATGTCTTCCCCAACTTTGGTTTAAGTGGGTGTGTCAGGCAGTTTGCAAGTAAATTTTCCTAAATTCTACCACTTAAATTCTTTGACCATCATTTCCCTGACTAGGACACAAGAAAATTATAAGCCAATAACCCTGATAAAATGCAGGTGCAAAACTTCAAAATAGGACAAGCCAAATTCAGAAAAAGAATCACACAACTTGATAAAGTAGCTGTTCCAGGAATGTAAGCTATTTCAACATCTGCAAGTCAATGCAGTACATCTCATTAACAAAATGAATAAAAATGTAGCCCCATAGATGCAGGAAAAAAATACTATGACAAGGCCACAGTTTACCTAGTTGACTACCCCTTAGCAGTGGGTTTCGGTCAGTTTGCCTGTTCTATTTCCCTGTCTGTCTCTGGTGAATCCTCTTCCCCCTACCTCACTTCTGCCCTGTACCCCAGTTCTTGTAGGCATCAGTGAATCTTAAAACCTTAAGAGGGCCTCCCTGGTAGCATAGGAGTTAAAGACCGCGCTGTCAAGCTATCACCAGCCACCGCAACATGAGTTTGCTCCCAGGCCAGAGCGAGCCAACCCATGTGGTGCAGCAAACCTCCTGTCTCATGCTCCCCTCAGGAGTGTGTTTCAGTACATCTGCCTGTTCAGCTCCCCATTTGGCCTCCGGTGAATTATCTCACACTATGGCCTTCACCCTGTTCTTGTATGCATAAATCTTAAAAATACTTTAAGAACCTCACAATATACTGTTAATAACCTCAGTAAAGTTTCAAGATAGAAAAAAGGTAAGAATGCAATCCCATTTGTAATGATACCAAAAGAATGAAATACCAGATTAGTTTTACCAGGGAAAGATCTGTATACTGATAACAAGATAGCTGATTGAAGAATCAAACAAATGGAAAGATATTCCATGCTAGCAGATTGAAAGAATATTAAAATGTCCTTACTAGCCAAAGCAGTCAATCTACAGATTCTGTGTAATTCTGATCAAAATCCCAAGGTCATTTTTCAAAAACTAACAATCTTAAATTTGAAACCAGGCCCTCCCTGGTGGCGCAGCGGGTTAAAGCACAACACTAAGAAGCTACAGCTGCTTCTGCATGAGTTTGGTCCCCGCCTTCCCCAGAAGTGACCACATAGCTTGGCAGACCTCTCGCTGCTCCCCTCAACGGTGTACTTCATCAATCTGCCTGTTCTGCTCCCCACTCTGTCTGGTGAAGCCTCTCACTGCCCCTGCACCTCTGGCCTGTACCCCAGTTCTGTATGCACAAATAAATAAATCTTTAAAAAAAAATTGAAACCAAAACATACAGCCAAAGCAATCAAATAGCCAAAGATGAACAAACCTGTAGGCACCATGCTGTCTGATTCTAAGCTTTTATTACTAAGGTACAGTAATCAACACAGTATAAAAGTATTGACATGAAAACTAATCAAATTTTGGGCCTGTTTGGTGGCCTAGGGGTTAGATCTCAACATGCTATCATTGCTGTGGCCTGAATTCAATCCCCGGCCAGGGAGCTAACCCATACACAGCACATCAGACCTCTCCGTCTTACCCGCTGCTCCCCTCAGCAGTTTATTTCAGTAGATCCACCTGTCTGCTCCCCACTGTCTCTGGTGAATCTCACAACCTACATGTCTGGCCTACACCCTAGTTCATGTATGCATAATTTTTTAAAAGATTTATTTTGGAAAAAAAAAAAAAAAAAAAAAAGATTTATTTTGTATACAGAACTAGGGTACAGGCCAGAGGAATAGGGGCGGTGAGAGGATTCACCGGAGAGAGTGGGGAGCAGAACAGGCCGACTGACGAAGTACACTGCTGAGGGGAGCAGCAGGTGGGCCAGGAGGTCTGCTGCACCATGTGGGTCAACTCCAGGGCGGGGATTGAACTCATGCTTAAGTGGCTTTAGCTCCTTAGTGCTGTGCTTTAACCCACTACACCAACAGGGAGGGCCCACATTAATCAATTTTTTTAAAGTGAAGTCAGCAAAGCAACATAAATTGGACTACATCAAGGTAATATCAAAAACAAAAATGCAAAGGACTACTGAATAGGAGAAGCTAGTATTATATTTATATATCTCATACAACCTAATAGCAAAAGCCAATGGTTACAAGACAAGATGATCTGAGCCATGTTTTCCAAGGACATACAGATGACCAACAGATACATGAAAGGGCCCTCAACATTCCCAGTCCAGGAAAATGGGAATAGAGCCTACACATTATCTCTTAGAATGGTTATTGCCAAAAAGAAAATTGTGAGGATGTGGAGAAAAGGGAACTTTTATGCACTTTTGGTGAGAGAGTAAATTGGTATAGTCAGTATGGAAAATAGGTTCCTCAGAGTTAAAACAATCACACTATAATTCAGCTATTCTATTTTTGGGTATTTACCCCTCCCCACCCAAATGAAAATACCACCTTGAAAAGATGTCTGCACCACGATGTTCACTGTAGTTTTTACTTATAATAGCTGAGATATGAAAAAGCCCAAGGATCCATCAATGGATACAAACTATACACACACACACACACACACACACACACACACACACACACACACTATGGTGTTTATATATACTAATTATTCAGCCATTAAAAAAAAAGCCCTGGGCCCTCCCTGGTGCTCCGTGGGGTTAAGTCCCAGCACTTAATCTAGCAGCAGCAACTGCAGCATGAGTTCCACCCCTGGGCAGGAGGTGACCCACATAGCACAGCAGACCTATCTCAGCCACTGCTGCCATCAGCAGTGTATTTCAGTCAAACTTCCTGTTCTGCTACCCACTCTGTCTTGTGAATACTCTCACTCCCTGTACCCCAGCTCATGAATGCATAAATATATCTTTTTAAAAATAAATAACTTGCCCTAGACCATGAGCCTCACTGACCACTGCTACAGAAAGCAGTAGGGTGGAGGCTGCTGCTCAGAGTGAGGGAACCACAGTAAAACTCTACAACGTGCTGATCAAGTGGGTGTAGAAAACAGTACACCAGAAAGGGAAGGTTCTGCCTGCTCTAAGCTTTCAGTGGTCTTCAGTGCCCTCTGTGAATAACAGTCCATTGATAACTGAGCCAGTTCCGCGCACCCCGACCTCTGTTACTCAGACCAGGGAACCCAACCACACACAGCTGTCACTGTCTACAAAGGAGAGCAATCTGAGATGCAAGGATGCAGGTGCTCCCCTCCTAAAGGATTTTTCAGTGTATTAAGAGAATATCTTCTCAGAAAATGTTTGGGATTTGTAAGTTACACATGATAAATCCACCCCTAAAAATCCATCCTGTCTCCCTAAACCTCTGATGCCTTCCTACATATGCTTGGGAGCTCCAACATGTCCTATTCACTGAGAGACCACCGCCTAGTCCAAGTGTCCATCAACCAGCCAAGTTAGTAAGCAGCTGGAGTGCTCAAAGTTAATTAATACTTTAAATCCAGAATCTCCTAAGAAAACTCACATTGATGAATTCACCTTTAGAGTGACAGTCTGTTCTCTTTGTCCCAACACCCCTCAAATATACTCCATACATATTCCCTCAATTTGTATCATTGTTAGATAAATCTTACTTTTCATTTTGGTCACTATAGCTAGGCATAGAGTAGCAAGAAGTAAGTTCTTGAAAATGAATAGCTCTTCGCAAGGCAGTCTGTTCCACACAAGTCATCTTGGAATTTTAAGAAAAGGTTAACCTCCTCAGCTAACACAGGATGGTAAACTGTCCATCAGCAAGGGAGACTCAGAAAGATTTCAGTTTTAAGACTGAAATTTGTGAGACCCCTCTAGTGGCACATGGGTTAAAGTCAATTCTATGCAGTTATCTGCAGCAACTGCAACATGAATTCAATCCCCAACAAGGGAGCTGACCCACATGGAACAGCAGACCTCTCCAGTCTTGCCCACTGCTCCCTCAGCAGTGTATTTCAGTGTATCTGCATGTTCTGCTCCCCACTCTGTGTCTGGTGAATCTTCTCACCCTCATACCTCTGGCCTACACCCCAGTTCTATGCATAAAAATAAATCATAAAAAAAAAACACTGAAATCTGTCTGAGTCCAGCCAGATGTTGTCATTCCAGCTTGAAGGGCCCCATCCTGCCACATTAATATCCCAAATTTCACATGAGAGACTTAATGAAGTTGTGAATTCAACTGATGTTGTAATTATGGAAACTGCACAACTGTTTCAGCAACATGAAATGATTCTGTTGGAACTTTTGTGGCAGTTCTCCGGCCGCCCTCAGGCTGATTTGAACTGAGAGTTTAAGGATCTAAGTCGTCATTTCTTTCTTCAAGAACACCAGTATCAACCTCACACTAGT